AGTTCCCCAAATTTCAGCTCCGTACAGTAGAACTTCCCTAACGTTCCTACTAAAGATTCTGACTTTGATGTTGGCGGATAGTTTCCTTGAGTTCCATATGCCCTACAACTGTAGGAATGCTGTCCTTGCTTTGCCAATCCTTGCCGTTACGTCTGCACCGAATCCTCCTTGTTCATCTATGATGCTGCTCAGGTAAATGAAAGTTTCCACCTCTTCCGGAACTTCACCAAGTGTGTTTAGGTTGATGTTCTCTGTGCTGTATTTGAGGATCTTGCTTTTTCCCTTGTGTATGTTGAGGCTTACTGCTACACTGGCTGTCGTTACCTGCATTTGTTGCAGTGTATGGGATAGAAGAGCTAGGTCCAAATCGTCTAGTCGCATCCAAGCTGTCCACTTCTCTACGACCAATTGCAGCCTCTCGTGAAACTGGACTTTGTCGTCGTCATTGCTATCACTGGTGAGTGCATAACTTTCATTGTTATTTCCTCTTTCCTTGTCTTGAAGAATGTCTTGATGATTCTAGATTTATGAGATCCCCATCTCACAAGTGCTGTAAGTACTTCTTTAGACAGTGTCAGAGCAACTCTCTGCGTCTGTGGATCATTTTCCTCTTCATGGCCGGAGTACAGCAGTATCTCCCTTGAATTTAACCCTCTCTGTTCAGCTTGAATCTAACTGGTTTCACTGATTCCGAGCACCACCAACTTGTATCTCTTCATTTTCCTAGCCATTTGATTAGTCATCCCGGTCTCCCACATTATCCGGACATTCCATTTACCTATATTAATTGTGGCTCTAGTTGTTAGAAGGAGTATTGTCCTCGTGACTTCCGAAGAATCCTGGCTTTCGCCATGAGGCGTCATAACTTCTGAACGGAAATCCTTCGACTTGGAGGGCAGAGTTTAAATTTGGGGGGGTTAGCGCTTTTTAACGAGGTTGTTTTCTGCTGGATGGGGTTGCCGATCTGACGCCCAACCCTCCTCCTTTACCCGGGTTTGGTACCGGCAGTAGCCCTAGAAAAGCTACAGTTGGAGTTATAGAGGAACCAAGTTTATACTTTATGGTTTGAAAGCATTATGGCACTAGATGGGTTATATTTTCTGTTAAGGCTTTCATTTCCGTATGATTAAAAAACAGGCGACGATATCGCTTTTCTTATAATGACCCAGTTAGTGTGATAAAATATTTGAGTGGTTGAACAAATAATTTGCTTGCTAAACCAATCTCTAAAACTAAAAGAAAAAAATTCAGAAGAAAGAACCTCTGATCAGCTGATAACGAGAATATGTTACGAAACTAGTCATTATTTATGTACAATTGCTCAGCCAAAGTAACCACTTACCACTGAACGAATGAATAATTAAGGCTAAGAATAAAGTTCAGAAACAGCCAGTGCTTATTCATATTTGCTGGTAACATCGCGAATACATAAGGTCTGGACTGTTTGCAATTGTCTCTTGATTCAGGTTACTAATGGATTTCATTGCTGTTTTTACGGCAGATTGTTGATCATCCTAGGCTACCTCAATATAAACATTTTTATATGGTTAGTTTTACCTTGACGTATTTTAGTGGCCCGTGTATCTGACTCCTGTTTAGATCGTATGGATGTTTGCTATCGCCGATTCTCGTATATCATCGACTTTAATCACGTTAGTCAATAACGGAATTAAGTAAGTCAAATAACGAGAATGGAATTTTGAATACATATATTTTGTATACAAGGTGAATGGAATAGCGGGAAGAGAAGCGATGCAGAGTGGAGATAGCTGAGAAGCCAACTCATTTTTAGTCAGGCGTTAACCAATATTTCTAGGTAGGCAAAAATAAGCTACAGACATGTGATGTGAAGTGTACACACATATACGCTCATATAAAAACAGTCAAGACTGATAAGCGAATAATTGACAAGGTCAAAATATGACTCAAGTAGAATGAATAGAATGGGATGTCCGAAAGCTAGAATAAGATATATAGGCTTAACATAATAACTGACACTACAGTATTTACCCTTTAAGGTCTCGTTGCACTTCTTTCCAAAGGCCGACACACAAGTTCATACTAGGGCAATTTTAGAGTCTAGACATTTCCTGTCGAGAGACCACTGGTCTTAAACCGAACATCTCCAATTACATTCATTTACTGCCGTAATGGTACCAGTAATCTCCAGGTTATGCAGTGTTTCCGCTCATGCTTAAGAATACACGATCGTGACAGGCGGTCACCGTTACCTATCCGCTCAGCTAGGATTCCAAAATGCTTTTCTACATGCCTCTCACTTTCCCAACCTACTCGGGCCTTAAAATTAACCATGATTACTATCTCCGAGTGTTTGGGTCAGGATGCTTCTGATAGAGCTCTTCTATTTTGTCCATGCTGCAGTCAGCATGGTGAGGAGACAACAGCGTGTATCGTCATCTGTGAAAACTCCCATTGGACCTAGTTTGACAGCACATAGACGTCTGTCGAGCCTATTGCGAGGTTAACTGTTCCGCTATCAAAATTAGTTATGTACCTACACAGTGATGTCGCATTTTATATTTACCACCTGTTATTATGGTTCCTTGGATTCTGGACCGATGAGCTTGTAGTGGGGCGTTAGTCAGTAACGGAATTAAATAAGTCAAACAACGAAAATGGACTTTTGAATACATGTATTTTTTATATGAATCGAATGGAATAGAGAGAAGCGAGGCGACGCGCAGTGGAGATGGCGGGTAAGCCGACTCTATTTAGTCGAGCATTAATCAATACTTATAGTCACACAAAATTAAGCTACGAACATGAAATGAATGGGATAAGAAATGTACACACATATGCACTCACATAAAAACAGTCAAGATTGGTAAGCGAATAACTAACAAGGTCAAAATATGACTTAAGTAGGATGAATAGATTGGGCTGTTCGAAAGCTAGAATAAGGTATATGGGCTTAACATAATAACCGACACTACAAGCTATTTTACAATATTCTGCATGGTTGATTTGGTCATGGAAGGTTGGACAGAATTTAGGGGCATAATCTAAGAAATGTGTTTTCGATTTAAGCCGTATCCGTAGGTGAAGAGTTATTGAAATCGCATTAGTCCTACTTCATTTCTGGAGAATTTTGATGTTTTAGTCCGGAATTATGTATAGATAAATTCATTGTACGTAAATTCATTCATATATCCTGAGTGTAAAGTCCCTCCATAATCCCCATTTCTCCTCTGAACTCTATGTTTCTAACATCCAGCTTCTCTTCGTAGGTAATAAGATTTCACACCTCTGCTTCATATCTAGCGGACACCACTCTTGAAGTGTTAAAGTAAAGTGATAACTCGGACCGACTCATATGCTACGTTTTACTGTCCCTGTGAATAACTAATCTTACTTAAATTATGTTGATAAAGGTTTTCAGAAAAAGTTCGCTGAGATTTCATGGAGTTCCACCTCTAACTTGGTTGCGCTGGGCTCTTTTGAGATGTTAGTTCACGTGGTGAGTACAGAGGTTCCACCTAGGGGAGTTTGAGAACCCCCCCAAATGCCCTGGTACGGCCGAGAGTGGGGAGAGTCAGGTCTCCCTCTCGAAATGCTCTCACATTGAGATTTAGATGGTAGTTGGAGGTAGTCAACAGGAAACCCTGGACCCGGGTTTCGTGCTATTTGGCACTCGTTAGCAAGGTGTACCTGTAATCTTGAGGGAACTGGTGCTCCCTGGCGGATTCGATCTCGTGTCACCCAGCTTCACAGTCAGAGACGTTACCACTGAGCTATCCGAGCCGTGACTAACCTCCTATAGGACTGAGATGGTAGTTGTTGGTAGTCAACCTCCAACTACCATCTAAATCTTAATACATAGTGCCCGCAGTGTCGAGTCACCTAGACTGGTGGCCACATTGTAACATGATCGATAGCATTCGATCTGCACTAATAAGGACTAGACAAGCATGACATTGATCACCACCCAGTGATCAATCAATTGTGGTGCTCTCACATGGCCACGCGTACATAGTCTATGCCAGGGAAGTCCTACTCACTGCCTTCTCGTGGCATTACTGTTGTTTACGAAAATGAGGACGAAAAGCGAATGTCCGGCGCTTTAACCGGATCCCAAACCAGATCAATGGTGCACATGGGCTCCAGTATCCTGCGGGAACAAATGGCGTATGAACCAATCGTTGGTCACCGGCTACCATGGGACTGCATCTCCTCACGATGCTCCACTGCCTTGTGGGTCAGACCTTTCGGTCGAAGGCCCGGGGAGTGGCCCTCTAAGCAAACCACCTGCTTCGGTTTGGGCATCCGGGCAGTATCACAGCCCTCACACAAATCAAATGAGATTTGTGTGACGCATATGTATTTGGCGCCTCATTATTTGAGAACCCTGGTTCCGAACCAATGATGCACATAGGGTCCTGAGGGAAACTGTGGCATATTGTAGGTCACCGGATGCCATGGGACTACATCGTCTTAAGTTGCTCAGCTGCCTTGTCGATTAGAGCTCTAAGTCAAAAGCTCGGGGAGCAGCCCCACTGGGCGCCCGGGCAGTGTTCCAGCCCTCACACAAATCGAATTACTGGTGTGGTGCATATATATTGGGTGCCTCCTTCACTGCACTGATATTCATGTATAACATGTATATCCTTAAAGGTAATTGTTTACTTCTGACTCTCGTTCAACTGCTAAAAGTGAATAGTAAATACAAGTGTATTCCTCCAGGTCATCTCGTAAAGTACTGTAAAACAATTACAAGCTTCTTTTATTGAGTGAGTCGAAATTATTATTTATGTACTAAATTATTAACACACAGGACACTTTGACCGCGTTAAATTTCGACCTATAACAGTGACATCAATGTTGAGTAATGTCAGTACTAACAGGTCAGTAATATATTTACAAATCCATCATGAAACTTGAAATTCCAATATTTGTGAGAAATATTTCACCCATCTTTGAATAGGGAAACATTATGACGTCAATGTTAGTAAAGATAAATACAGCAGTGTGTAGAATTCTTACGACCGACCATACTTTTTGGGCTTCAGATTCCTCTGTTAAAGTTCTTGGTCAGTATTTGTATATATTTGGTGCTATCTTTTCCACTTTCGACAAGTTAGTAAGCAAGTTACTCAATAGGATAACCAACAGGAAGATAAATACATTTGGAGTACATACTACTTAAATTAGAATCATTTTTACGCAGTTCAGTTTTGGCATTTATCATTACACTGAATAGTAAGACACAGTTTTCAATTATTCAAAGACGGCAATGAATATTATACTGAATATGGTAGCAAATTAAACTAATAGATTAGAACGTATTTATGAACAGTTTTATTGATTAGTCATATTAAAGTAGTCTTCATAATTGACTAATTTAAACCAGTGGCCACAATAACACTGAACTGGATCGCCTTTTTCTAATTCTAGCCAATTGATAGAGTCCGCTTCCGGTTCACCTAAGGAAAAAAAGTGATCGTAAGTTTCAAAAAATTTGTGCTAAATATATAATTCAGTAAACCTCAGAATATACCTTAGCTTTATCTAATCCGTCAAAGGCGTGTTTAATATTTGGCTATAAATTAATTTACGGAGACATTCATTCGTCTAACCATACCCGAAAAGTACTATGTTTAAGTTATGATGGGATTTAAAATAACTAATAGCCGTTTTCACAGGGCAGTTGAAATTGCCATGTTTAGAAACAGGCGGGAGACCAGTTTATTAATTTTAGACTACTATCTTTATTATCTATGTCAGGTTATATGTTAACTGTGTTGACTGCACTAACTGTTTGAGCGGATTACTGTTTTTGGATACAACTCTACCGCTTCTCTCACTAAGGCAATACTCATGTGATTACTGTTGCTTATTAATCCAAATTAATTAATACAAAAACTGTAGTATCATTCTTCATTTTACTAGCCTTGTTATCATTTATGATAGTAGCTGTTATGTTATGTGAGTGTTTCTCCAGACAGAAATTATGCCTTCTCATGATGCACACAAAAATTATCGTGTTATAGTATGTAGGATTGTTGTGTCTGACTGTGTTTTGAATTCACTCTACACTTCTTATCTTTAAAAACAACAGGGAGTGATATCATCATTACTAACTCACTAATGCACTTACAAGTAAACTAATATTAAGGTCATAAAATGTGTCAAATAAGCTTTCGTACAGAAACCAATCTTAAACACATTATCTGCTTTAGAATGCTTCACGTCTGACTAGTATATAGCTAGTAAGCAAAAATTCTGGACAAATAGAATTTTTTTCTGTGAGATAAATGTCTCATAATATATGAAAATTCGAATCAATATTTGAGCCACAGTGGATTTTCTAATTGGTAGAAAACTAATATAATAAAAGCTGAAATCTTCCCTTCACTCTACACCCAGTTCTAAATAGATGTAGTTGTATTTAGTATGAATATGTTGAAAAACGAACATTAGTTTAAGATCAGGAAGTAGTAAGCGGACAATACAATTTGAACTCCCAACAAAAAGATAACAAGTAGGTCCATCCACGTTGTTGCTAGTTTCTTTTAGAAAAGCTCTTTGCATCCTTTAACCATAGCGACCATCTAGCCAACAAACTTTTACACAGCTATGACAAGTTCTAAAAGCTCCAAGAACCGCGATCATTTATTGGTCCGACTACCTTAAGGCTTCTGTAATTTTGTCACTCAATAGATCTTACGATATGTGAAAAATGCTTGGAATACATAATTTTACGGACATCTGTAGTCTTCTTACATCTTTTTGCCGCTAACTCGTCTGACGTCTCAAAACTGTTAATCTTGCATTCAAAATATATTCTAATATCCTATGTAACAGGTGTATTAGGAAAAATCAGAACTGTGGATTGCACACTACATCATATAATTTAATACAAAAGAGAAAAATGAACTTAATAAAACTAACAAGCATTCGCTAAGGTCAACTTACAGATGCATCCAACCATTCGCCTGTGTGACTGTGAAGGAATAAGATTAGGAGAGGACTTTGAATTTTCTATAGGGATCCGTATGCGTTTAACCTCAAAGGGATCCTTTAACATGAACAAATGTTAAATGAATGTATTTTTATTCATTACCTGTTCCACAACTATTTTCGATACTAATTCAAAGTCTTTTGCATTCACAGCTTCACTAAGCAGTGGAAAATCAGAAACTAAAATACTAGATTAAAAATAAGCATAGGTTACCAACGCAGTTTTCTGATGATTCATTTGCATCTGACTTAGTCGTAAAAAGTCTTAAGTAGCACGAACCAACGTAGCTTCTTATTAACGGAATAGACCTTACAACATTAATCCGAGAGTACGCGAACATCATCCAAGTTTTACTGATGGGAGTACATGTGTGTGCTAAATTTAAGACAAAAGATATTTATGAACGAATTAGATAAATTATACATAAGTTGAAACGTTGTCGTCAACCTCCGCGTCAATACCTGTTGGCAGTGGGTTCTCGGCCGAACAAGTAACATTGGCAACTGAAGTCTGTTCTAGATTTGCAAAACTACATGTTGTTACGCAGAGCATGTCATCAGCAGTATTAGGCTCGAGTGCCAATGTTATGCTTATATAGCAGCTAGCCCTGTCCTATCTAATCGATCTCGAGTTACTGACCGGTTGAAAGTTGGATGCTACCACCGACTACGAATACTAAGTGTTATAACTCTGATTTCTTACAGGTTAATGACCCAGCTATTCCTGTTGCTTAGTATTCTCGGACACCGATTCACTCGACAAGTCCCCAAATCAGAACACGGTTGAACAGGAAAAAGATTATATTCCAAATAGCAAGTCAGAAGCCGGTAGGAAGCACAATAGGGAAAAACGTCAGTATATTTATAGTTTTTACATAAGAAGATTCCAGAGTATTCTCCAACTATCGGCTAGTGCTGATTGGATAAGAATTAGCCAATCAGCGTGCACCAAAGCAATCATGCATTGAGCATGCTTTAATCTAGTCTATGTCCCGCTAACAAGTGTTAACGAGTATTACTCTAAGTTTTACCTTATGCTGCCTGTTGTTGGTAATAAAAATATTGAAGTGTAAAATTATTGTAAAGGTTTGACTTTTATTAAATTTTACAATTCACAGGACGGTCACTGCGATTCTGAATAATAGCACTGATATACTAATGGGCGTTACTGTTTCTTGAAATTGTTTGGGGCAGGTACATGAGGGCTTTAGAACTTAGTTATGGTTTGCTCGCTTCGGAATTCCATCGGTTGGTCGGGTATGATTTCGTTAATGGTTTTACGCGGTTAAAACGCTGTAAAGTGGGCTGTGATACCCTGAGAAACACAGGACCATTTGTGAGTAAACTGGTTTAATGACTTTGCTGTTCAATGATTGTATATTAATATTGGTATCGTATTCCGTTAGAATTGATTCATACCTTTATTTATACGTACTAATTCTTTCTTCCTGCATCATATCCTTATATGCAATCTTTCTTTTACATATTACCACCATTAAATTAACTACTATGAATTCGGTGTTCATCTTGTGCTAATGAGGTATGGCAACTTGGACCGATGAATATATGCGCATGATCCTACGTTGTAGCTGACTGACTGACGTTTGATTTTCCTGGATGGCAAAATTATGGCGATTATATTTGATTTCAGCTGCGTCCAATTTTGGGACGACTTTAAAGTCTTAGTATCAAGAATTTGTAGTGTTAGCACGAATGTTCCTTTTTTACTGTAGTGAGATCCCCATCTTTGGGGTCGATCGCTTAACTTTTTATGACTAGTTGTATTGAGTAACAGTCAGGCGGTCAGCTACAACGTAGGACCAGGCACATATATACATCGGTCCAAGTTGCCACACCTTGTCAGCACAACAAGATGAACACCAAATTCATAAAAGCAGTTACTTTAATGGTCTTAATATATAAAAATATTGCATATAAGGATATGATGTAGGGAGAAAGAATTGGTTCGTAGAAATAAAGGTATAAAGCAATTTTAATCTCATGGTTTAAGGAAAGACAGAGTGTATAAACCTATGCCATTGTAGCCGATTCTCAGTCATGTCACCCAGGGTCTCCAACCATTGATTACGATAGTTGTGCGGACTCCAACCAAGTAATCTGAATCTACCAGCATGGTTCAGATTAGAAGTTATTGACTTCAAGGACTGAGGCCACGTTTTGGTTTGGCCGCCCCTAACTTTCTTCCGTCCGTCTGCAACACCATTCTGTGATAGCCGGTGTCTAGGCATACATAACACGTAGCCTAACCATCTCAGTCGGTGAAGATTTACAACCTCATCGACTGATTTGCCATCACTCCCCTGATTTTCTCGTATTTACAGTTAACGAGTCTTTGTCAGGTGCCGGATAATTAATGTAGATGCTATATTAGTTAAACTAATCCGTCTATGGTTATCACAGAATGATTTTGATTCTTTCCTATATATTGGGACGATCAGTCAGATGGGGTGCGTGCTCGTATTAGAGCGTGATCAGAGTCTAAATATGTACTCCAGAACGAGTGGCTGCCTTCTCTCGAGCTTCTTCAGCGATAACTGATAGCAATATGGTCTATTTGTTGTTAAAGGTATGAGGACAATTATCACTTCCCAGTTTCGCACACCGTAGAAGGGTTCTTCTAGAGGAACTTGAAAAGGATATTGGGTTAGAGTTGGTCTTAGTGACCTGAGAGCATGATTGCAGTGCCCAAGGCACAACTGCTTAAGGCCAGTCACACACGACCTTTTTGTGGTTAATTTTTGTGCTAGTTCCGTATTTGTTGAAATTTTACTGCCAGAGATGGATATCCGTGGGATAAGGCGAGGTGTGCATTTTTAGGGTCAAACTTTTATAACCACACTCTACCTTTGTGGGAAGGCAGCATCGCTGTTATGCTGGCTGTCTGGGGAAAACGCCTTACTTCCATCACGCCTGTACAGTCAGCAGTACTGCTTCACCTTTGGACCTTAAGTTTGCTGCTTTTAGTCTTACTGTTTTTCAACCTATCTGCTTGACATTGTAGGACATTGAGGAACGAATATCCCAGCCAGTATAGCCCAATTGGTTCATCACGCTAGGCAAGACCGACCATCACAAGAAGATAACAACAACGGTGGGTGGACATTCAGTACTTTGGTAGTATGTCTAAAATTCATTTTTAGAGATAGTGAACCAGTAATATTTTTACTTAACCCATCACCTAACCAGTGCTCTTCCCTAGGGTCCCGGTAACTTGATAGTATTTCTTAGTTGGTTATAGATATACTGCACATCCCAGGTGAAGGGCAATATAGTTCTGGATAATATTGCGAATAACCTCATTGTCGGATGAAATATTAAAATCTTGTTGTAGCAGAAGTCGAGCTGCATATCCACACAGAAGAAGAACACGATCAGAACGACAGTAACGAAAACCAATGTATTTATCTAAGCAACGTAAATGTAGTTATATGCAATATCAAATACATGCAGTAAGTAACTGAGTGGCAATCAAAATTACCAAACAGTCCGGTGAAGTCATATTAATTCTGACTTATTCTCCACCCTATAATCTCGATATGCTAAAACCAACTAGTCCAACCCATATTCCTTCGGTATTCGAAAGAATTTTTGAACGCTTCTGTTTCTTAATCGGTGAGAAGACAATAGAATAATTAAGTTTGACAGCTTAGAAACGCCAAGAGTTCAATAAGAAATACCCGAACTCGAGCACATCAGATTGGTGTCTTTATCTAACACTTGTTTGGATGTCATGAAAACAAATAGAGTATTGAAGGCAAACGACTCCTTGAAATAAACAGCTTTGTGGAAATTCAAAACTGATGCAGACCTAGTTAGACTATTATAAGGCGATAGATCAAGCATCACAGAAAAACAATACGATGATCTACCAAGAAATATTTTGGGGGGGGGGAGTTTTGTTCTCCACCAAAATCATCCACCTGAGCTACAAATCTTCTCCACCATACCAAGAAATATTGTTTTTATCTGTTTGACCTGTGTTTAAATTCAGTGTATTTCTTTTGAAACTGGACAGGTCTAACAAGGTTGATCCCTTCGAGAACATTCAAGGAATTCATGAGACAAGACCCCTGCAATCATATTGATTATGCCAGAAATATACTGTTTGAAAAAATTAACTGACTTTCAGTGGATAAGTAAACGGACCTACTGAGACTTGCTCAGAGATTAAATTTAGAATACAGTATACAAAGTCCAGATAAGAATATTACTGCTTATCATATATAAAAAGGAAATTCATGATATAAGGACCAATTAGTTGCACGAAAAGTCAAACCTATAGGTTATGTATAACAGGGGGGTAGAGATCCTCCATTATTCCTGTCTTGGAAATGTCTCTTTAAGTTTACGTAGCGGCAAATGATCCCAAAAATATGTAGTTTTGTAAGTCATTGATGCTAAAGTAATCCAGTTTCTAAGATTTTGGAGGAGAGCACTCGTATGCAGACGATCTAGGAGGCCTGTGATCACAAAGAAAGGTAAATTTTCAGCCCTACACATAATGTTGTAAGCACTGTAAATCACAACATTCCTTAAGCTATACACAAAACCACTTGTACATCATAATTTGTCAGTGACTTACACTTTAGCCCGAAGAACAACGCTATCTTACAAGCGCGTGCGCTTTAATTGACCTTGAGGCACCAACACGGGAGGAACAGGAGAAACTTTCGCATCAAATGGTTCAAATGGTTGTGGACGGAATAGAAGAAGCTTTCGCTTAACAGGCTTCCGTGTCTAGTAGCAGGGGATCACCAAATCCTCCAGGCAGGAACCTAGGTATGTTACCAATAAAAGAGGAAAAGAAATTAGTAAATCATAGTGTGATACTATACTTAGTCCTTAAGAATAGATCAAGTTGCCTCTTAAAGGACTCCTGGGAAGTCGCTTGGACTAGCTTGGCCGGCAGGAAATTCCAGCATTTGACAACTCTTAAGGAGTAGAATTTGCTTCTACAGTCCGTTCTGCTGTAATGTATCTCCAATATCTGGGTGTTACCCCTCAGGTTTTTATTGGGACTAAGCTTAAGTGGGTGTTAAAGAGAATGTCAAGAACTGTTAAGGATACTGTAAGCCATCAGTTCACCTCTAAGACGCCTATACTCTAATGGGTAAAGGTTAAGTGATTGGAGGCGCTCTTCATAAGGTTTAAATTTGAGTCCTCGAACCGATTTCGTGGCTCTCCGTTGGATACGCTCCAGGGTGTTCTTATCCTTTTGGAGTGACGGGGGGAATACTATGCTTCCGTACTCTAAATGGGGACGGATAAAACTATTAAAGATTATATGGAAAGTTCTTCCATCAAACTGGCCAAAAATGCGCTTCAATGTTACCAGTACAAGGTTTGCTCGGAAGGCATTTTTGTCACAGTTAGCGTAAGACTTTAAATCATAGGGCACCAGGACTCCTAGATCTTTTTCGACTTGGGATACTACTAGAAAGGAGTTTCCTAAGTTGTAACTGTAGTTTGCGACATGTCGCAGATGGACTACTTTACACTTTGAAGTGTTAGAGGTAAGTCCGTTATCGTCTGTCCAACTTTGAAGTCGAGGCAGATCCTCCTGAAGTGCCTGTATATCGTCTTGGTTGCGTATCTCTCTCTCCAAAGTTTAACGTCATCAGCAAAGAGTAACAATTCTGACGTTACCTGTTGAGGAAGATCATTTATGTAGATCAAGAAGAGAAGAGGTCCTAGTACTGAGCCCTGGGGCACCCCATTAGGATATTCCATAGCTTGAGATAAAGTGAAATTAACCCTGACCTTAAAATGTCGATTTTTCAGGTATGAAGTGCGCCAATGTATTAGAGGTGGTTTGATACCCAATCGTTTGAGCTTATTGATAAGACATGTATGGTTAACCTTATCAAAAGCTTTTGAGAAATCTAGGTAGATGATATCAACCTTCCCTTTGTGACCAAGGATGCTTGTCCATCTGTCCACCGCAGTCAGCAGGTTGGTAATACAACAGTAACCCTTCCTGAAACCATGCTGTTGGGGCGAGAAGAAATTTAAGGACAGTAAATAGTCATGTATACCATCTCATATCAGGGACTCCATGATTTTTGAGGGTATGGAGAGAAGAGCCACAGGTCAGTAACTTGAAGGTTCGCTGCGTCGACCTCCTTTGAAAATTGGTGTGATGTGAGCCAGCCTCCAACTTTCCGGTAGTTTTCCTCGACTTAGCGAGTGTGAGAACATCACGCTAAGCGGCGTTGCCAAGATTGAAGCTGCTTCCCTCAGTATGGCAGAATGGACCATGTCCAGGCCAGGAGAAGTGTCTAATCGTAAGTGCTGCAGTTTCCGGAACACCAAGTCAGTGCTTAGGTTCACAGCGGAAAGTCCTGTGGAGTTGCAAACGAAACTGTCATCAGTAAAGTTACTGTCGGTCGGTTGAAATGTCTGGGAGTAATGTTCAGCCAGAAGGTAAGCGGCGTCGCCATCGTTGTTTGTCGGGCCGTTAAGACCTAGCAGTTGGGAAACTCCAGTTTTGGCTTGACGATTAGAGGCTGCACAACGGGATAAGCCTTAGGATTAGAGGCAAATTTGTCCATAAGCTTTATCTGGTACTGAAGCCTATCTTCTCTTATAGCTTTCGTGCATATGTTCCTGATATGTTTATATTGCCTGTACGCTCCGTCGTTGTCAGTCCGTTTGTATTCCGCCCAACAGTGTCTTTTGCGCCTTAGCAGGCGAAGGGTACGGTTCTTGATTATTGTAGGTGGCTTGCAGCTTTTGGGAACCGTTTGAGGAACTGAATGGTTTGTAGCACGTAAGAACGTGTGCAATGACCGTCCACATGGAGTTGGGGGTGGACATCCCAAACCACCTGTTGTAGATAGTCCAGTAGAGTTGGCACATCCAACCGTTTAAAATTCCAGCGCAAGTTATTGGTGGGGTATCTTGGCTTAGTTTTGCTGACAAAACTGAAGGCTATGACTGCATGATCGCTTTTTCACAGGGGAGCCAGGATTGAGAGGTTGTCAACTAGAAATTCTTCGTTTGTGAATACACAGTCTAGGAGCGATGGTGTCTGACTTTTTCTCCGAGTTGCCGACCTCACATTTTCGTACAATTTCAAGTCATCGACGAGGCTAAAGAACTGAGCTTCAATCGAGTTGTCGCCTCCAGTATACGTGTGTTCCGCGAAGTTGACTCTAGGGAGATTAAAGTCCCCTAGAATCAGGATGTGTGTGAAACCGAGACGGATAGAGTGGGATAGTCCTTCCAGCATACGACTATCGTACTCGATGTCGGCAGTTGGCTTCCTGTAAATGACTCCGACTAGACACCTCGAAGTACTTGACAATCTTACAGAGCACCATATGGATTCCTCAAGATTGTTAAACTCGAGGTTGTGAACTTGATGCACCTACAAGCAAGAATGTATGTAAACAGCTACTCCGCCCCCAAATCCTGATTTTTTGTCATTGCGGAACAAAGACATCCCAGGTTATGCTAACTCATGGTCCGAGAACTGAGAAGATATCCAGGTTTCGGATATTCCTATAAGATGAGCCTTATTAGTATTGCTAAGTTCACGTAGTTCATCCAATTTGTTTGGTAGACTCGCGGCGTTCATATATAAGCAGTTTATGCTTTCAATTTGGAATGCGTGAGCTTCTTCCTGTTTGTTTGTGTGAGCCTTACGTGAATGGACAGGTAGGCCACCTATATGAGGTTTGCCGAGTTGGTAGGCCCTATCCTTTACACGTTTTTTTATCGACTAGACAGTCCACAAGTGGAATGGTTAGCTCCAACTTGCCTTTGTGTTTGGTCCTAGCTTCGCATGGCCTATCCGGGTGCATGTGGATTCCAGGTGGCAGTCGACGTCTGTTGGCACGAAATGCTTCCAAAGTTGCAGCCGCCATATGGGACGATGGGAAGGTTATCTTCATTAGACGGGGTCTAGAATCACCATCCTTCTTGGTTAGTCTCGTCACATGCTGAGTTAGTATGTTTTTGAGCCTCAAGGGCTGTTTGATGAATTTCCATTCCCTGATGTCGGTCTTTGATTGAGTAGGGTCCGTATTTTCCGGTATACCTTGCACGATTATATTCCTCCCGCGGAAAAACTGATCGCGAGTTTCTTTGGGGATGTTCCGGATGAGATTGGGCCCAGAATACGGTATGTCAGGCAGTATTCTTACATTCCCATCTGATTTCAGTAAATGACTCGCTAGTAAGACATCCTCTACGTCTGTAGCATTCTTAAGTGTTACACGAAGTAGCCTCGGGTGATTTTGATGCTTAGATTCCTCTCCCCGAGTGAGCCGTGTGACTGTCAAAGGCTCTATCCTTGGAAGTCCAAGTTTCTTGTTCAATTCTCCACATAGGGCTTTCGTATCTAATAGCAGTGGATCACCAGTGCCTTCAGGTAGGAACCTAGTTATACTTGACGATAAAGTAAAAATATTAGTGAATTATGGTGATTGTGTTGGGTCCTTAACAATATGTCAAGTTTCCCTTTAAAGGACTCCTGAGAAGTCGTCAGGACTACTTCGGCCTGCAGGGAATTCTGGAATCCGACTACTAAGAGGGTAAGAGCTATTACTACAGTCTGTTCTACTATGTTGTGTTTCCGATTACTGGGAGTTGCTTCCAAGGACTTACCTAGCTGAAGGCTCTAGGTAATGCTGTGGACTTATTTACTCTTTATAACTTGGTTAACACTTTTTCGCGTTCATATTTGTTTGGTCCACCACAATGCATCCACACTAGATCACGAGTGAGTACGCCATAATACGCATCTCGTGCGATCGTTGGCCAACTCAGACAAAACCCTTCCTGACATATCGATGGTCTTCCAAATATATCTTCAAACGTCTTCGTTTCTGACTTTTGATTTGACTGGGTTGGCATACTTCGATTATAGGTGTTACTGGTCAGGGTGTTGTCAAACTCCAAATACTCGTGCCATCTTCAAGTGTTTGGACGGTCACCTCTGAAACTCCTATACTCTTGTGAGTAAAGGTTCAGTGATTTGAGGCGTTCTTCCTAGAGCTTGAATTTGAGTCCCCGAATTAATGTCGTGACTCACCTTTGAATAATTTCCAATGTATTCCTATTCTTTTGAGTGGAGGGCAGAAACACTGCATTCCATGTTGTAAATGGGTCCAAATAAAACCGCTGAAGTGTAAGTGGAAAGTTCTACTGTTCAACTGGGCAAGTATGCGCATAAACGTTACTTGTGCAAGGTTTGCGTAAGACTTCTGACCACAGGGTACTGCAGGGCCTGTGAAATGTCACTGAGTCTTAGCACAATCATCCGGCAGTCGGCTCAGCGGGCATTAAATAGTCCACTGATCCTGATCAGTTTCATCAACAATCAACACACATCAATAAATCTTGCGACATGGGTTGGCCTATGCGGTGGTGGTCGCACTGTCATCCTTGTACCTACTCTTACTAATATGTTCTTGTAATAGTGTCCTTTGTGTCATATGGTCTTCAAAACAATCATAGTACAACGAAGGGTCAATCCGCGTTAGGTGCTAACCGCGAAGTATTACTTAGAAGTAAACTGATTCGTCACACCATTCCCGCCTAACTCGAGAAGGCCCCCAATCGTTCGACACAGATAATCTACGTTAGTGATCTACAGCAGCAACACTCGAGCTTTTTCAACGTTGGATACCTCTAGAAGGGAATTACCTGAGTTATGTGCAAGGTATGTAATAT